CTACGGCAAGTAGGGTGTGGTTGCTCCGACCCCCGCCGGCCGCCGCCATGCGCTTTTTGGCAGCGTCGATGGCCTCCCGCTTTTCGGGGTCCCCGGAGGAGAGGAAGGGGGACCGGCAGCTGAGACCGGCGGCGATCGAGAGCAGGGGGGACAGGCAGCCTAGAACCGCCCCGTATATTAGCATCTTGCCCACCTGCACCGGGCAGGGCAGCGCCGCAAGGTGCCAGCCCAGGGGAGTGAGCTCCTGTAGGACAAGAAGGGTGAGGGGGGCGGACATGAGAACTAGTTTGAGCACACACGCCCAAACAGCAGATGGGGCAAACGGATAGCTGGTGAGTGAAAAGGGGATTGTGACCGCCTTCAGGGATGGTGGAAGGGAACGGGGCATGTGGCATCGGTTGATGGGAAAGGAGTTGGTACAAGAGGCAGTTTCAGGTACCACACGTACGTACGCCAAAGAAACGGTTTTGTGCCAGAACCTCATAAGCCGAAAAAAACAAACAAACGCGACGCTACCAAAAACAAACAGACCACCGAATCTCCACTACCGACAACCATCCCCAACCAATCTGAGCACGCCATATGCCAAACATCACCACCGCCACCACGGTGCGCCCCCGCCCCCCCCCCTCCCCCGATTCTTCTGCTGTAAAAAAACTCACCGCCCCTTCGCCGAGCGCCTTGAGGTCCGTCAGCACGTCGACGGCGTCCTGCACCGCCTTCGGGTCCGGGGGGTCGAGCGCCCGGGCGAGCACGACCGAGGGATGCTCCTCCACGCCCAGGGCCTTGATCTGCAGGACGAGGTGGTCGAGGGGCACCCTCTTGATCTCGGGCGTGCCGTGCGCGGGGAGCCTGGCGAACGTCTTCCTCCGGAGGAGCTTGAAGGAGACCCCCTCGCGGACCCGGCCGGCGCGCCCCTTGCGCTGCGTCAGCGAGTCCTGGCTCGCCCACGACTCCTGCAGTCGGGGCATCTGCCGCGCGACGTCGTACCCCATCTCCTTGACGCGGCAGCTGTCGAGGACCACGGTGGCGTCCGGGATGGTGATGCTGGTCTCGGCGATGTTGGTGCTCACCACCACCTTGCGCTTCCCCCGCGGCGGGGGGTCGAACACGGCGCGCTGCCTCTGCGGGGGCAGGGACCCGTGGAGCGGCAGCACGAAGAGGCCCTGGCCCCCCTCCGTCGCGTGCTCGAGCTCGCGGCACAGCCGGTCGATCTCCATCGTCCCCGGCATGAACACCAGCACGGAGCCGGACACCCCTCGATCACCACCGTCGTCTTCCTCCTCCCCGCCGCGAAGGCCCAGCTCGCGCTCGCCCTGCGGACTAACCGCGTACAGGACGAGCGACACCAGCAGCTTGTAGTGGAGGTGGTCCTTGTCAACCCGGTCCATGTCCAACCCTCCCAGGGCCCCCCGCTCCCGCTCCCGCTGGGGGAGGTCCTCCTTGTTGTTGTCCTCCTCCTCAAACTCCTGAAGCCAATGGTTGGGACCCTGAAGGCCGCCAGGCCTCCCCGCCCCACCCCCGCTTTTTTCGTGAGGTTTCGCCGAAGGGGCGGCGGCGGGGGAATCGCCCCCCCCCCCCGTTGTTCCCGGGGTGGCGGAGGCCTGCTTCCTCTTGAGGCGCGGCCGGTGCCCCGTCGCCGCGATCGCGTCCTCCAGGTACAGGTCGCGGACCGGGAAGGTTCGTCCCGGGATGTGCAGCACCGGCGTTTTTCCCCCGGGTAGGCCCGGCAAGCCCCCGAAGTAGGCGGCGAACCGGGCGGTGTCCAGCGTGGCGCTCATGAGAATGACCTTCAGCTTCGGTCTGTGTTGGGTGGGCCGGGGGGCGCAACGCCAGCGCAAAATGGGACAGGGAAGGCGTGGGCGATTTTGTTCACCGTGCGCAAGCGTGCGCAAGCGTGCGCAACGGACATCAACTTGGCCTGCACACAAATTCGAGAGCAGCGGTTGGTTGCGATTGTACGGCGTGTGCATCGCTGACGAAAAAGAAGAAAAAAAAAAACGCTTGCACTGCTGCAGCCGGCCACCTATTCCCTCACCGCTTGGGGAGGATGCCGATCAGCAGCGCCAGCAAAAAGTCGGCGTCGAGGTGCCTCTCGTGCACCTCGTCCACCACAAGGTGGGTCAGCTCCTCCAGACGCGGGTCCCCCTGCATGCGGCGCAGCAGCAGGCCGGTCGTGCAGAACAGCAGCCGGGTGTCCGGGCCGGCCTTGCTCTCGCCCCTGATCTTGTACCCGACCCCTGCCCCGAGCCTCTCGCACCGCTCGTCTGCCACGCGCTGGGCCACCCCGACCGCCGCTATCCTCCGCGGTTGCGTCACGAGCACCCTCAGGTCGTCGGGTCCGCCGCCAGGCCCCCCCCCTTCCTCCCACTCCTCCAGCAAGAACTGGGGGATCTGGGTCGTCTTTCCGCACCCGGTCTCCCCCGAGACCAGGACCACCTGGCTCCGCCGCGCCAGCGACAAGAACTCCGCCTTGGCCTTCGCCGCCGGCAGCGCCGCCCGCTGCCGCCTCCTGCTCTCGAACTCCCTCGAGGCCTCGACCTTCTCCCTGCCGCGCTTCCGCTCTCCAGGGGGAAGGCCGCCGCCGCCGCTGCCTCTACCGCGTTGCTGCTGCTGGCGTACTCCCCCCCGGCCTCCTCCCCTCCCACCACCACCGCCGCGATCTCTTCCCCCGCTCCCGCCACCCAACGATGACGCCCCGCCCGACCACAGCGGCTCCGTCCCGGGCAGCCGAGGCCGCACCGAGCGATCAACACCGCCCTCGCCGCCGCCCTTCGCAGAGTTACCCCCCCCGCCGCCGCCGGCGGCGGCCACGGACACGCCTGGACTGCCATACCCTACCGAGGCGCTTATCGCCGCCGCGGCTGCCGCCTCCTTCCTTCGGGCCGCCCGCCCCGTCGCTGGAAGCGCGAGCATCGCCGGGAGCTCGTCGAGCGCCCACATCAAGATGTCGTAGACCGCGGGGTTCCCGATCAAGGACTTGGCGCGGCGGGCGAGGGCGACCTGGGCGGCGTGCAGGAGCCCCGCCGCCAGGAGGTCCGGCCCGCGCACCAGCGCCACCGGGGGGGCCTCGGAGGGGTAGCCGCCCACGCCTCCCGCCTGCGGGACCCACACGTCTAGCCAGGCCTTGGTCGGCAGGGACGCTAGGTTGGTCAGATCGAACGAGAGAAGATATGCCCCCTGTTGTTATTGTTGTTGTTGTGTGGTTGTTCATGTCGATGTCGATTTTGATGGCGATGTTGATGTTGACGTCGACGCATCATTCGACGTCCGATCGTGGACGGGCGATAAAAAAGAGAAAGAAAAGGGTGGGACGCGGGGGAAAGGGTACATCAGGGTCGCCGCGAGAGGGCGGGGCCATTGTACGACCTCTCGAAACCTATGGACGACGAAGACATTCAGATTAATCCCGACCATTCCCGAGCGACAAGCGGATGGATCCACGACCTCAACGATAGGTGTTTCAGGTACATAACCAAGAAGCCATGACATGTTCTGGAGCCGCAGGTCTCCTTCCTCCCCCCAACACTTCATTCAGGCCACGGGCACGCTACTAAGCAGTCACAAAATCGACCCTGTAGCACCTCAGGCATGTTCGGAGCGACCGCTACCGCCCCATCGTAGATAGCCTCCAGGGACATGACCTCCTCGTCCACCGCCTCCCGCCCCTCTTCCTCCGTCATCAATTCCGCATCCAAGCCCGCCGCCCCGCCGCCGCCGCCGCCGCCGCCGCCCTGCTTCCTGGCCGACGCGGGCACCAAGCCGCCGGCGAGAATCTTCAGCGGCCGCAACAAGCCCGCGTCCAAGCTGTCGCTGCCGTTCTCCTCCTCGTCTGTGCTTGCACCCGCGATAGCCGCCGCCACCTCCGCGTGACCAAACCCGTACCGCAACAGCTTGCCTTCCACGGAATCTGCTGCCGCGATCTCCCCGCCACCTCCTGATTCCGCTTCTTCCTCAGCTGCTGCTGCTGCTGCTGCTGCTGCTCCTGCCCCACCACCACCGCTAACACTATTACTAGAGGCCCCGAAGTCTTGTCCGGGACGAATCACGTCCAGGTTTCTCCCGCGCGGATCGAAGCCCTTAGGGAGCTCCGCCTCCTCGAGGTGGAGGCACAGCCACTCCAAAAGGGCGTCGGCCCGCTGCCCGAGCGTTTCGCCCTCCTCCCCCGGGCACGCGTCTACGGCTCTGGTGGGACAGTCGACAGCAGACGGGGGGTGGGGGGGTGGGCAGGGGAGAGGTCGGTTGGTTGGAGGAAGGGAGTTCACGCACTGATACATCACACCGCCACGACTGACGACAGGTTTTGTTTGCAGCATGGCACTGAACGATCGCCCCCTAGCCCCCCGCGCCTCCCGAAGCTGAACCCCCACAAAACAGCAAAAAAAATACTTCATCATTATCATCATCAGCAGCAGCAGCAGCAGCATCACCGGCGAAAAAGGGCTAAGCTGCCGTTGCACCGCGCGCCCCCTACCGCCGTTCAACACGAAATATCCCAAACAAACATTGCGAGGACAACAAATATCTTCCGCTCCATCACAACGCCTAATAGCACTACACCCGTACATTCGCACATCAGTCTCGTATGCAAACCCATTCCAGGGCTCTCTTCACCCACCCGCTCCACCCCCCACCCGGAGAACGCCCGTACCTGTCCCCTCCCCCCCCCAAAACAAAAGAATACAAAAACGCCTAACTTATGCATAGCACGTCATCCACCCGCGCGGCCGGTTTCCAGAACGCTTCCCACTGCCCCTAAAACTGAACAAAAATGACTTGAAGAAAAACTCCTCTCACCGCAGCACATCATCCGCGGGGAAACCCATCCCCTGGACCTTTTCCAGGGCCGCCCGATCCGTCCCCTCGAGCCCGTCCAGAGTCAGGCCGTGGTGCTCCGCGCCGCCGTCTCGCTGCCGCTCTCGCTCCTCCGTCAGACCGAGCGCCTCCTCGAGGATTTTTCGGAGCCGGGCGCTCATCATCACCTTTGTTGTTGTCGTGGTTGTTCCGCAGTAGCAGAGAGGGGAGAGAGAGAGAGAGAGAGAGAGAGAGAGAGAGAGAGAGAGAGAGAGAGAGATGGGGGGGGGGGGGGGTGCCTTGAATATTTAGTAGGGGGGGGGAAAAAATGTGCCTGGGGGTGGGTAACAATAAACGATCTGCTTCGGGAAGT